CAGTTGAAGGGGAAGGGAGGGGGAGACGCGGCAAGGTGGACGGTGAGGAGAGCAACGACGCGAAAAGGGAGGAAACGTGACGGTGACGACCCCTTGCGCGCGAGTGTCCGACCCTTTGTTTGAGCTCTGTCAACCGAGATACATTTTCCGTTTCGCGCCAAGGGTGCAAAAGCGATTGTTCGACGCCGGAGCTCCGTAACGCGTAAGAGCGTCGCTCTCTCTCAACTGCACTTACGCGCATCGTACTTCCCTTTCTCGTCGAGCGCGATGATTCTTCACGGCAACTGCCTGAACGAATGTCGCCCGAATTCGCGGGGCGAGGAGATATCATCCCCCGCCGCTCGAACGTTCGCTTTTAGCACGGACGTTTCTACGAACGTATTTCGAACGTCCTTCAGAGGTCCTGCGCTACGTGGGGAAATTGTTATTGAAAAAGGTAACTTGTCACAGCCAAGTTCGTACCAATCTTGGGAAATGATGCGTAAACCTCTTTATATTCACGATTGCGTTACGGAACATGCGCGCGTAATCCCGCAGCACTCGAGGATTCCTCGTCGCGTTAATCAGTGGCCGATTATCCGCTGGCGGTATCTCTGCCGCGCCGAAAGTAACGAGTCGCTATGAAATATTCATGACCACGGCAATAACGGCGCAAATCACCGGAGTTTGGTTCGCCAGGTGTGGGCGTAGGTGTCGCGCCCACCGTCACGCAGGTGTAATCCGTGCCGCTTAATCGCATCTGGAGTATGTCGGAAATCGGTTGTAACGGCAATCAGTATTAGCACTCCCCGATTATGTAAAGCTCGAGCGATTATGGAGATCGAATTAAGCTCGTGTCGCGCGCTTGCGCGCACTCAACGAGGCTGACACGCGTGTACGGGATGAGGGGGTGAAGGACGAAGAGGGGCAAGAGGGGTGTACGACCGTGAGTGCTTTTCGCGGAGGCAGCCTCGTGGCGGAGCAGCGGGGCTTGCAATCCCCGTAAATTAAAGGACAATCGAGCCGAGGTCACTCCCCATTGTTACTCGCTCTGGTTCCAACGGCACGGATCGGACAATGCGCATCCAGTGAGACTCGCCCTCGTATTTCATGTAACTGCCAAACGCTCGTGGCTTCCGACCCGAAAGAGAAGCGGAGACGGTGGACAGACAAATCTGCGCGTTAGAGGGGAAAAAGGAGAGAAACTAACGTCCAGCTCCGTGAAGATTTCAGCTATCGGAGTCACGGGATTGGCAGACGATCTTGCGGATCGACGGATTGTTCGAGCGATTCGTGAATCTCGCTCTGCGATCGTCGGCAAATATTGACGCGACGGTGTGATGCCTAAACTCAATCCAGCTCGTTTTTATTATGCGCTCAAAGTGCTCACCAGCACGTCGCTGTCATCGCTCGACCTGGCGTTTCGAAAGGCTTCTGCAAAGCGATGAAGTCGTAATTTCAAAGCGGACGCTACGTATCGTCATTCTTCACTCATACTCGCTTTTTCAAAAGAAGCGGGAAAACATGTAGACGCTTTCAGCGTCTCGCTCAATTTCTTGATGTGAAATGCCACTCAAAGTAAAACAGAGTGGTCACCGAGTCAATCAAATACGAATGATCAACTTACGGTGAAACAACGAAGTCTGAAGTTTAAGACATTATCAACGTCAAAGTAAGAGTGAATTGTACGGTTAGAATTGAAATTAAACCTATCCTGCTGTTTTGGCTCCAAAAGTCGGTGAAAAGTTCGGCTCAAGTGTCGCGCAGAGTCGTTTATTTTCGGAAATCTCACGGAACGAGAACCATCATCGAGAATCGAGCTTCTTAAGAGTCCGCGAGCAAGCGAGCGCCGATAATCGCGCGACAAAATAGTCGTGCAGCTCGTTACGCCGCGGAAGCTCGGCAAGTTCGGCAAGCACCTTTGGCACCACCGACTGTCACCTGCGCGAGTTCGCGTTTATACACACACACCTCCGCAAACCCTCCGTCGGTTCGTTGAATTAGACGCTCACGGCGGCGGAGGCGGGATCTCCGGAGATCTTCTTGGTTTACCTCGAGTCGTGACGACGGTTTGCTTTGAGTTACTAGCGCGCGCTTTGATCTTCGGCCTCGATAAGTCGCGAAAGGATCCCCTCCCTCCTTCGCCCGCCAATTGCTTCTGTAAACTTTCATCGAGTTCCCGGGCGCGATTGCTCGCGTGCTACTCCGGCCGGCCGGATCGATCTTACCGCGGTATTTAAAGTCAAACAAGCTTGTACAGATATGTAAATCGCGTTACGCTCGCCGAGTCTCCCCGATTAATTTCATGTATTTTAATTCCGGTCCGCTCGTAACTGCCCACGAAAAGCCAGTCGCCGCCGAGAGAAAGAAAAAGAGAGTGAGAACGTGTGTGTATATGTGTGTAAGATTTATATATAACCCCGATATAATTATACAATATATTATCACGATTAAATAAGGTAAAAATTAGGAAATTATTCTTCCGATATCCGTCCACTATGGAAGTTACATCCCCGCGCATTTGCAGAACGACAACCCCTACGGAACGCAGCCCCCGCGGCGCAGCAATGGGTAGCGGCGACGGTGACGACGGCTCTCTCGTGCCCTATTAAAATCCGTCAAACGCTTGGCGAGCAATTAAAGCTGCGGCGGGCAGCCGCGTCAAATAAATCAGGGATCAATAAATTAGCAGCGGTTAAAGCTTGAACCGGAGAGAGAAGGGAGAGGCTGACTTTATCTGGCATCGCGCCGCGCGGCGGTACCGACACCACGGGGGAAGCGGAAGCTGGCCCCAATAAAACACTTGCCGGCACGGCGCTCTTACGTTTACGTCTGCGTTTGCGCCCGCTCCTCCGTTCTCTAATTTGCATTTTAAATGTCGACGTCCCTACGTGGCGTATAGATAACGCCAAGGGACCGAAAACCACCCACGGTCGACGAACATTTCTCTTTCTCCCTCGCCCTTTCTCGTCAGCCACTTCGTCCTCGGATTCACCGGATGCGCCGCCGCCGGATACCTGGCGAGTACATTCTCTCGCGGAGATAAAAGTACCTGCCAGGTTGAAGGTAGAGGAGATCTCGTCTCGTACCACCTCGGCTGCGTTTACGAGCCTGTCTGCGAACATTCGCCAGACTGCTTCATACTTTTCGGAGTTTCCGCCTTTCCACGGGAATATCGTGGCGCTATCGCTGTCGCCGCTACCGGTCGGTCCGCCATTCTTTTTCTTTCACTAGGTAACGTGCGTTTCTCACCTGCTTGAAAGCCGGTTTACGGAGCGCTCTTCGGGACTTTCCTTTTCGGCGCGCCTCAATGCGAGGGTTGCTCCGGAAAAACATGTAATTATTTTCTGAAAGCGTTACTTCCGATCCTACTTGTTCGTCCAACGCGAGAAGACGAATCGGCTCCCGGCGAACGTTACACTCCTCTTTCCTCGTCATCCATTCTCTCACCTAGATGTAAACCAACAAAGCTTGCGCGAGCTGACACAATCGGGCTACCGCACTTACACGGCCAGCTGGGATAAAGAAGCGACGACACTTTCAGCGTAACAGAAACGTCATCGGACAGAGATACGTCGTCGTAACGTCGGCGCGCTGGCACTGTCTATCTGTCCTCGGCAGACAATACGAGGACAGACGTGGTCCAACCGCGCCCCTTTCATGTACCGCTGATTGATACCCTCGGTCCTGTCCGTCGCCGTGGGGATGCGACGGTAATGTCGTCCTCGTTGCCAGTCGCGTACGGCCACATTATCAACGCCAGGAACGAAAGAGAGAGGATTAGCCGAGCACACTCGACATCGGCGAAAATTCGTCAAATCGATGTCGATTCCGACGCCCCGGTGCTGAAGCGGAGATGTAAAGGTGTATAAGAACACCCGTCGTTATCACGATGTCGCGTGAAGCGAAATGCTCCGGCGTGTCATATATATTGTCGGACTTGACACGCGCGACGAACACACGCCGAGGCCGATTAATACGGAGAGGAGAAGGTTTCTCTGAAAAACGAGTGAAATGCAATGACATTACGCGTGCATAGATACTCTCTCTCTACGTGTGAAATATTTTAATTATATATATTTTTCTATTTTATGTGCATATGTTTATCTAAATATCATATGTCGTTGCATATCAATATCTTATTTTACCTTATACGTTTGTGTTCAATGCGAGCAAATTATTAACATCCAACTTGTCCTGATAATCGGTTTTCGTAACGATCAAGTTCCTGTGACGAAGAATACTTGCGATAGAAGTCACTCGCCTTCACAAACCTATATTTTTTTTATGAAGACACGACTAACATCTCTCGTATGACGAATATATAGTTCTAAATTATAAAAATGTATTTTTGGCGGAAAATAAAAGAGATTCATTTGCTTAGAAGTATTCGTATTGAAGATTCGTACCAGAAGCTTCGTATTATCGACATATCCTTAGCGCACTCCTCTTACAATACGTATTCCATGCACGCTCGTGCTCGCACTGAGGCGCTGAGGTCGAAACACTAAACAAAAAGTCCTTTGGAAAGACGCTATTATAAGTAATCTCCAGTGCAGATATTCTTTGAGTTTCCGCATTCAAACGAAACACACATGAGAATATTCCTAGTATTAAAATCACAAATTCGGTATACTTCATTACGATACGATGGGTCCGACAAGGAAAACGTACCATAAATATTAACATATAACAAATACGATTGTGCCATAGAGAGCCCATTTTATTTAACACATTGAAATTAATATTTATCGACAGATGATATTATATTTTTGAAGTAAGGAAATCTTTAGAAATATGAATATAAATATGCATATGTGAATATTTAAAGACAAGGCGACTCATTTTCATATGAAACCAGTACATGCATATCTGATGATTTTTCCTTACTTTAAATATGATTAATAATTCAGCTGTGATAAGATATCGGGAAATTAATATTTATCTATCAATAAATTCATATTAACTTTATAATATGGAACATTATAAATACCTTCACTATGGCAGAGTCATGCTTTTTAGGTAATAACACAGGTCACATTTCCTTTGTCGGAAGCATATATCATAATGAAGTATATCCAGTTTACGACGATTTTAATATTGGGAATGCTTCTCTGCACTCGTTTAAGCATAGAAGCTAAAGGAATATCCGATAAGGCGCTGGAGGATACTTCTTCTGATAATAACGTTTTTCCAAAGGACTTTCTGTTCGGTGTTTCGACTTCTGCGCCTCAGACGGAAGGTGCATGGAATGTAAGCGGTAAGAGACACTCAAAAATGAGAGATGCACTTTTTGGGCTAATAAACATTTCTATGTAGCTGAAGATACACTTTAATATTTTATAAATATCGTCAATATCAGGAACTTTTTTTTACTTTGTCATGCGTTTAGATATATTGTATATATCCTAAATATATTGTATAGACAGAGGACCGTCTGTGTTGGATGTCATGATTCATGCGGATCCGAGTTTACAACAGGACCGGAGTAATTTTGACGTAGCGACTGATTTTTATCATAAATACAAAGAGGATATACGTTTGGCCAAAAGTGTCGGTGTAAGCATTAAGATCCTCTTTACATCTCTTCGATATGAATATTTTTTAATACTTTTTAACTGTTTACTTACGAACAGAAAATATTCGTTTCACATATGTTGCGAATAAGAAAACGGCACTTATTGTAACATTTATTAGAAAATGTGACAATTCTTCCTCCACAGGCTCAAATGTTCAAGCTTTCCTTTTCGTGGTCAAGAATTTTGCCGAGTGGCTTTACGAATCATGTTAGTAAAGACGGTATACAATTCTATAAGAATGTACTTAATGAGATAGCAGCGAACGAAATGATTCCCATGGTTACGTTGTTCCACACGGACCTGCCGTATGATCTGCAAAGGATGGGAGGTTTATCTAATCCCCTGTTTATTGACTGGTTCGAGCAGTACGCTCGATTTGTCTTCGCCACTTTCGGTGACAAAGTACGTATATGTAGGAGAATCCGAATGCACTTGATTTTTTGGGATACTTGATTCCTAACCATAATTTCAACAATGGAAAGATTTATTTATTTTTCACGTTAGAAACAATATTTATTCCACTACGAAATAATAATTTTTATTACTTTTGCATTTTTTCTCAGTATAGTACATTTTTTTAAACGGTAGATATTGGTCGCTAAAATAAAAATAGCATGTATGTGACGGAATGATAATAAGCTAAGGCGTTATGTAAATTTATAATGATTCATTATTGACACATGCACTGTAATGAAGGTTGCCAAATGAATATTTTACCATCATGATTAAATTAAACGATAAGCATAACAACGAATATTTAGGTGAAGCACTGGACGACTATCAGCGATCTGAATCTGCATTGTTACTGTGGTTACGGCAACAGTTATATTCCGCAAGTAAACTTATCAGGAATCGCAGATTATATATGCGGACACAATGGTTTGCTGGCTCATACGAGAGTCTACCATCTATATGATCGTGTATTTCGTCCTAAACAGAACGGTAAGGAGGCTATCGCTCTGCGACAATTTTTCGCAAAGATACGTGACTTTAAGTTAGGTTCTTTTTAGCGCCGATTTTAAGTGATCCCTTAATTTTGTTGAAGAGTATATTACACTGTTCTAGGAAATTATCTCTTTCTTCAAATATCGAAATTTAAATTTTCCAGCACATTTTGGACCAAAAATGTATATAAAAATAAAAATATCCTGAAAAATAATATTATTCATATTTAAGTAATCATATTTTTGGCCGGTCTTAGGCGAAGTGGGATACACCGTTTATTATCAAGTGCCCCAACCCGAGGATCCATCCTCTGAAAGCGACGTGGCCATTACAGAAATTGACCATCAGAAGTTCAACAATTGGCTAATACATCCGATTTTCAGCAGCACCGGTGATTACCCACCTATAATGAAGGAATTAGTAGCTAATCACAGTCGTATACAGGGATTTTCTACATCGCGTCTGCCGAGCTTCACGGAGGAGCAGATTCGCCACATGCGTGGTGCTTCGGATTTCCTTGGGATACATTATCATACGTACGCACAAGTAACGTCAAAGACCAACGTCGATATTAACGTTGTGACTTATGATAATGACTTCGGGGTGGCGTATGCAGAAGGGTTTCCATCTCTCAGGGTATAATGCAACTATTTCGTTTATCATACTTCCTTGTAACATTTGCTTTATTAAGATACGAAAACGTTACTTTATTTCTATAAATTCTTTTCGGCAGCATACTATTTAAATTTGGCTGTTATTATTTGTTTGATGGTTGCTTTTCAATGATTGCTAGTCTATCGTAAACGTTTTCCAATCGAAATTATTATTAAGAAAATAAAATTTGCGAGTGTGAATGATACGATTTTCGCATTTAGGACGCACCATCAATGCTTGGGAAACTAATACAGCGCATAAACCAGGATTATCATCCTACAATTTACATTACCGAAAATGGTTTTCCTGAATCCGCTTTAGAGGACAAAGCTAAGGTAGCATACCTACAAGGGCACCTCGCAGAAGTGTTAAAAGCCATACGGAATGGCGTCGATATTCGAGGTTACCTGTTGTGGTCGTTGATGGATAGCGTTGAACTATATTTTGGTACTCAGTAAGTTCATTGAGTTATTCAAATGTAATCTTTGTCTAGATGTAAATTTATACAGATTTTACTTCGTAATATAAGGAATTATAGTATAATATAAGAAATTATAGTATTTGTGTTTTCCAGACTAAAATTTGGTCTTTTCCACGTCGATTTTAATCATCCGAATCTCACTAGAACTCCAAGACTGTCGTCTAAATTTATAACTGGTGTTTACCAAACGCGACGTCTGGATTAAGCAGCCTGATATTAAGCTCCGTTATGCATATTGAAAATAATTAATAATATATTATGTAATAAAATATGTAATAATTTATGACGTCTAAAAAATATATTGACATATTCACATATATACGTATATTATTTATATATGTACAGGATGTCCCATTTTAAGTAATGCGTTTTAATATCTCTTCTATAACGTGTTATAGACAAAAATTTTTCAGATAAAAATTGCATAGATTGAACGGGGATACATAATGAAAGTTCAAACTTGAATGACTTTTTCTATGTCAGGGTA